GGCCCTGCTCTGTGCGTGACAGGGGGTGGCGCCGCAACCTCCCCATCGACCCTGCCTTGAGTGTGACAGGGGGCGGTGCCCCAACCCCCCAATAGGCCCTACCCTGAGCGTGACTGAGGGTGGCATCGCAACCTCCCGATCCGCCCTGCTCTGTGCATGACAGGGGGCGGTGCCCCAACTCACCAATCGGCCCTGCTCTGAGCCGGACCAGGGCCTGCACCTAGGGATTGGGCCTGCCCTCTGCCACCCGGGAGCAGGCCTAAGCCAGCAGGTCATTATCTCCAGAGGGGTCCCAGACTGCGAGAGGGCACAGGCCAGGCTGAGGGACCCCCCTTCCCCACCGAGTGCACAAATTTTTGTGCACCGGGCCTCTAGTAGAACATAAAAAAACTAGGGAGCTAGTAGAAATAGATTTTAAGTTAAGTAGTAGCTTCTACGTCACTTGATTCATGTGCCCTCTTAATCTTATTTATTTATTTATTTTTAAAATTTCTGTGTACTCTTAAACTTGTCTCAGACTTGGAGATAAAGTTGGAGGAAGCCTGCCTAAAACAGCTAATGCAGGATTCCAAGATGATGGCTGATTAAGTGGAAGCTACACTGACATTTTCTGAGGACCAAACTGGAGTTACAACTAAAATATAGTAAAACCATCCTGAATAACCAACTGAAGACTAGCTGAGGAGAATCCTTATAAACAATGACATAAAGAGTAGACCACATAGAGATTGACTCATCAAGAAGTAAAGAGAGAGAACCTAAATAAATAAAATTAGGAAAGAGAGAAGTAAAGCAGCAACTGACACCACATAAATACAAAGGATTGTAAGAAAATATTACAAACAACTATATCCCAACAAACTGAACAAACTGTACAAAAGGATAAGTTCCTAGAAGCATGCAATCTTCCAAAACTGACTCAGGAAGAATCAGAACATCTGAATGAATCAATAACAACTAATGAAATTGAAGCAGTGATAAAAAACCAACCAAACAACAACAACAAACAAACAAACAACAATAACTAAAAACCTCCCAGAATACAAAAGTCTTGGACCTGACAGCTTAACAGGGGTTTTTTAACAAACATTCAAAGAAGAACTAACACCTATCCTCTTCAAAATATTCCAAAAAATTCAAGAGAAAGTAAGACTTCCAAGCTCTTTTTATGAGACCAGCTTTACCCTAATTCCAAAACCAGAAAAACTACAATGAAAGAAAATTACTGGCAAAATTTCCCAGATGAACATACATGCCAAAATCTAAAACAAATTATTAGCAGATCAGACCCAGAAATATATTAAAAAGATTATCCATTATGGCCAAGCAAAATTTATTTTGGTGACGCAAGCCTGAACAATATTCTCAAACCAATAAATATGATACATCACATAAACAAACTGAAAGATAAAAGTCATATGATCATATCAATAGATGCAGAAAAAGCATTTGACAGAATCCAGCACACATTTTTTATAACAACTCTCAGCAAAGTGGATATAGAGCAATCACACAAATAAAGGCCATATATCACAAAACTACAGCTAATATTACTCAATTGGCAAAAACTAAAAGCATTTCCCTTAAGAACAGGAACAAGACAGGGATGCCCTCTTTCACCACTCTTATTCATCATAGTACTAGAAGTCTTAGCCACAGCAATCAGATAAGAAGAAAAAATAAAATTCATTCAAATTGGAAAGGAGGAAATGAAACTCATTATTCACAGTTTGTCATGATATTGTACATAGAAAACTCTAAAGACTCCACCAAAAATTACTAGATTTAATAAATGAATTTGGAAAAGTAGCAAGATACAAAATTAACATCCAAAAAATCTATGGCATTTTTATACACCAGTAATGAACTCTCAGAAAGAGAAACTAAAAAAACAAAAAACCCATTTGTCATTGCAACAACAACAACAACAACAACAAAAAGGATATCTTGGAATAAACTTAACCAAGGAGGTAAAAAGCCTATACTCAGAAAGCTACAGGATACTGAGAAAAGCAACAGAGAAATATACAAACAAATGGAAGAATACACTGTGTTCATGGATTGGAATAATTAACATAATTAAAATGCCCATAATACCCAAAGCAATCTATAGATTCAACTCAATCCCTCTTAAAATGGCAATGGCATCTTTCACAGATATAGAACAAATAATCCAAAAAATTATTTGGAACCAAAAGAGACCCCCAAAAGTCACAGCAATCTTGAGAAAAGAATGCAAAGTTGGAGGGATCACAATACCAGATATCAAATTATACTACAAAGCCATTATAATCAGAACAGTCTGATACTGACACAAGAAGAGGCATAACGATCAATGGAACAGAACAGAGCACCCAGAAATTGACCCAAGCCATTATGCTCAATTAATACTTGACAAAAGATGTAAGAGCATACAATAGGGTAAAGACAGTCTCTTCATTCCCTCTCATCATTGATGTTTCTATCTCTCTCTCCCTCTCCCTTCCTCTCTGAAATCAATAAAAATATGAAAAAAAGACAACTGTGTGTAAGAAAAATAGAGAGTGAAAGGGATAGTGGCTAATGTCATAAGCTGACCCCTCTGGAGGGGGGCAGTACCTACCGGCTCCCCTTAATTGCCATCTTATGGAATGGGCTCAGTGTCACCATGTATACAAATTTTTCAAGAGAAGGAATCAGCTACTTTTTAAATGTTTATAATCAATTTTAAATTTTATAACAGTGTGTAGTCACACAAAACCTTCTGGGTCTGCATCCAGCCCTGGAAGCCCAGGTGAACACCTGTTATACTCATGAGACTTTAAGGCAGTGATGGCGAACCTATGACACGCGTGTCAGAGGTGACACGTGAACTCATTTTTTTGGTTGATTTTTCTTTGTTAAATGGCATTTAAATATATAAAATAAATATCAAAAATATAAGCCTTTGTTTTACTATGGTTGCAAAGATCAAAAATTTTCTGTATGTGACACAGCACCAGAGTTAAGTTAGGGTTTTTCAAAATGCTGACACGCCGAGCTCAAAAGGTTCACCATCACTGTCCTAGGGCAAGGGAAACAAAGGGAAAAATAAACAAATGGGACTGCTGGGGCTGACCAGCAACCCCTGAACCACGGATAAACAGATTACTCTGACACAGTTTCACTGTGAAAGAGAGGGCTAAGGGGTTTGCCTGGCTCAAGGGTCCAAGCAGCCTCGACTGCCTGCCTCATTAGGCTTTTATTGGAATTTTTATCTTTAGATACAATCAGTAGGGTGAGTAATCTTGGGAGGACACATGTGTTTACATTGTCCTCTAGGCAAGGGCATCCAGGGATTAAGCATAAGGATTCCAGTAAACACCCAGGGATCTGCACGTACACAGACTTGTTTGGAAAGGTCAAAGAATAATTAGGGGCACCGCCTTCGACACTCCCCTAAGTCTCCCTTACATCGGAATTCCGATAAATAGGGCAGGCGGCCTTCCCACACTTCCCTTTTCTCAGAATGTCCTCCTTATAAACTTTCCAACCAAGTCTTGTGTGCTCCCCAACATGGGAATACATCAAAATAAACAGCTGCATAGGAAGAGAAACCATCAACAAAAAGGAATCCCACTGTATGGGAGAACATATTTGCCAATGACACATCTGATAAAGGGTTAATTTCCAAAATATATAAAGAATTCATAGAACTTAAGGAAAGGAAGAAGCAATGAAATTTTTTAAAAAATGGGCAAAGTACCTATGTAGACACTTCTCCAAAGAAGACATACTGATGGCCAAGAGATATGAGAAATTGCTCAAGGCAACTAATCATTGGATAGATGCAAATTATAATGATAATGAAGTATCACTTCACACCTGCCAGAAT